AAAAAAAAAAAAAAAAAAAAAAAAAAAAAAAAAAAAAAATCAAAAATCACCCAAACACTACATTAAAGCAGAGATGAGAAACATATGTGAATCTTTTTTAAATTTCAAAAACTGACATTTCCCTGTGTCTACATTAAACACTGAAAGTTTGCCATAAATCAGCCAATATTTTCATCATACTTTATTTAAGAACAAAGAATAATCAGTATATGGGGTGCTGCAGAAAGGAAGTGTGAAGTGTGTACAGAAAAGAGTTAACATAGCAGGCCCCACTACTATTCTTTCAAAGACCTGCTTACAGGGCTGGTCCTTGCCTGTATTTCGGAAGCGTTCCCATCATTCCCAGAACTGATGAGAGTAGCTCACAAGGCCTAAAGTGCTGGGTGCTGTCTCTAGTGAGCTTCCCTGGTTGGCAACATCCAAACTCGCTGTAACAACTCTTTGCTGGGGGAATTAAGCACCTCCTACGCGACTCCACCAAGAGAGGACTCGGCTTGCTCCTGGCCTCCCCTGGATTCAGCCCCAGGCGTTTTTTCCCTTGGCTGATTCTGCTTTGTGTCCTTTTGTTGTAATAAATTATAGCCATGAGTACAGCTACATGCTGAATCTTGTGAGTCCTCCTAAAGAATTATTGACCTGGGGGTGGTTTTGGGAACTCTGACACAGAGTAAAACTGTATATTGACTCATTAAAAGGTTTAGTTTCCCTATAAATTAGAAATACATTCTTCTAATTTTTAATAAAGTGAAAAACAGCATATACCCCATAACGAGAATACCTGCGTTTACTCAGCAGTGTTATGGCATTTAGGTTTTTAAAGTCTGATTTAATTATATATTAACATTCACCTAGCAAACACATTTTAAAATGTGCCAACTTTTCCTACTAGATGTTTTCTTATAAAACAAGTCCTTTTCAGGGCTTCCCTGGTGGCGCAGTGGTTGAGAGTCTGCCTGCCGATGCAGGGGACACGGGTTCGTGCCCCGGTCCGGGAAGATCCCACATGCTGCGGAGCGGCTGGGCCCGTGAGCCATGGCCGCTGAGCCTGCGAGTCCGGAGCCTGTGCTCCGCAACGGGAGAGGCCACAACAGTGAGAGGCCCGCGTACCGCAAAAAACAAAAACAAAAACAAGTGCTTTTCCTTAGATGATAGCCATTGTGCTAAATTTGGGTATTATATATCATTAATGTATCCAGCATAAACAGGTAAAAGAAATTAGAAACCCTCAAGGAGAAACCAGAACCATTCATTACTATTAAGTATCTTTTTACTTTTGCTTTAGATCTTTGGCATTTATAATTTCTTTTACACTATTGTGAAAGTGATACTGGTCACCATTACAAACCAGACTTTAAAAGCTGTTTACAGAGGAAGGAGACTGAGTATTAAAGCGGGCTTCTTTCAGAGTGTTTTTGAATTAAAATGCACTTCCTCACGCAGCTGAGCATTTCCAGCTTACTGATAAAATGAACTGAATATTTCATGGAATAGAAACAGGCTGCTTAATGTCTCTTCAAGAACATAAATAGGATTGCTGAAGATAAATTCAGAAACATCAGATAGTAATGAAATAAGACACAGCATCATGATAAATTAGGAGATTGGAATTAACACATACATACTACTATACATAAAATAGATAACTAACAAGGAACTACTGTATAGTACTGGGAACTCTACTCAATATTCTGTAATAACCTATATGAGAAAAGAATCTGAAAAAGAATGGATATATACATATATATATCTCATTCACTTTGCTGTACACCTGAAACTAACACAACATTGTAAATCAACTATACTCCAATAAAAATTTAAAAAAAAAAGACAGCAACAAGAAAGCAAATTTAGTGACAGCCTACTGAACTTTCATATGATAATCTCTAGGTATGCCTGCTTTTGTGAATATGAACTGAACTTATCTTCTAAGCAATACAAAAATCTTTTATTTCTAAGTTACCAGCATTTTCATACAGCAGCATAATGAAGTAATGTTTCTTTGAAATTACAATGTTGAAACCACTTACAAAGTATTTTACTTTTCAGAAGTGTATTTATATATAAAAATAGTTATTATTTTTTGTCACAATGTGTTATAAAAGTATTTTCAGTAAACTGGTAAAGAGATTGTTAAGGATCCATTCTAAGAAGCCACTGAATTTGCTTCAGCTATGGGGTTAACCAATTAAGTTAAACAGTCCATTAGGGGTGATCTTAAGTAGGAAATGGTTAACTTTGGGATTTTTAACCCAGTCTGTAAGTGCCATTCTGAAACACAAATCGTACTGTCATCCTCCTCTTAAACAAGTAAATCAAAAACAACCTTGAACATCTCTGTACTTTCAGTAGATGAAAAAGTCCATTAACTATTAAGAACGTTATACAAAGCCCTTCGTAACGCAAGTCTGAACCTAATCTGCCTTCCTCCCCTTTAACTCTTCCCCGGGGCCCCTATAACCTTGCGAAACTAAACTATTTACCACTCTCCAAACCTACTCCTCTGTGCTTCCCCTCCTTGTTTACCTGTCACTTCCTCAGCCAGGAGTGTCCCTCCTGCCCCATTTTCATTTTCAGCTGCACTCCTGCTCATTTTTCAAGTTCCAGCTTAATTGTCTCCTTCTTTTGAGAAATATTTTTCAAAGCTTCCAGGCAAAGCGAGTTAGTCCTTTCCCCATGTTCCATAATGCTTTAATTCAGCTTTGTTACATATTTCCCCAGCAGTTAGAGTACCCTGCACATAATACTCAATAAATGTATTTATTACATGGATTTGAACAAGACACATAAGTATCCAAAACCTAGGAGATAATGAAATACTCATGTTTCTTAAATATAGATGAATTTTTGAAAACATGGTTTAGCGATTGGGAATATTTGAGTTCTTGGTAAATCTCACCCATAGGCAATTCCAAGATACAGCCCGTTACAATTTAAAAGCATCTGAAGTTTCACCTGCACTGAAGGTTTTATCCAACACTCCTTTTTTTAAACTAAGTTTCAAGAAATCCTTCATTTTTGTACATGTATACTCTATTCTCATCTTTACTCTCACAAGATCAGTAACCCCCTCTTCTTTTTAGTCACTGCAAAGAGGACAGCTTCAATTAATTTAAGCCTAATTAAATGGAACCTTTAATTAGTTTCATTTATCCCATATGCTCTCTTTTTAAAAAGAAGTAAACAAGAAAAAATCTGAAAAAATGTCAAAGTTCTAAAGAAAATACTAAGTATAACCTCTTATATTTTCAGAATTTGTAATACCATAAAAAAGGATTTCCTAGTGTGCTTTGGAAAACATTAACCTTTATAAATAATTTTTAAATAAAGCAGGGTCAAAGAAAAAGTATCTGTTATAATATTTTGCCTTCCAAAATATTAGCACAGGTAGTAGTTTATGTCATTTGAAATTAAAGGAAGCTTATTCATATTTCCTAATAAGAACTTTAAACCTTTTTATCACAACAAGAAGAATATAAAATTAGTCACACATTTCATTTTTTCTTTTTTTCATAGAACAAATTTAGGTAAGTCCAGGTATACAAAATGACCTTTTTAAAATACTTGGATCATGAAAAAAGTAAACTATGTCCTATCTTTAAAGAAAGACCATAGACTAAATGCTGGTTCTTTAGGAAGGCAAACCATCATCACTAAGCTTAACTCTTCATGAAAAGGTACATGGAGTCCTTAATTCATAGATTAGAAATTACTTTAGAATCACTGAAGTCTTGCCAAATGTTTCATTCTCCTATGAGCAAAATGAGTCAGCTACTCTTCCAGTGACTATGCCAGGACAGACTGTTAGAAACCAATTTAAAGGGCAGATACCTTTATCAGAGTATGTGTGCTCTAATGCATGAAGATCAGGCAACAGGTGAAGACAGTTTATGCAGCAGTAGGTGAAGAAATCAAGGACAACCACTTTTCCACATAGATCCTTGTAGACAGAAATAGATTCTTCTGTGTTCAGCCATTCTAATCCTGAAATTTACACAAAATAAAAAATAATTAAAGGAAATGATCAAGATAATTTACTTAAAACTTTCTATTAAAATGTGAACAATTATTATTTCTAAGGAAGGGACTGGCAAGGCAGGAAGGGAGTGGGGAGGCAGAAGATGAGAAAGCTACTGCTATGAGACAGTCTGCAAATATAGTAAGAAAAAGCTACTAAATTCTTTCAGAAATGGTATATTAGTCTGTGTGTGAAAGGAAGTAAGATTAACATATTTAGGTAAAAATAAGAGGAAATATCAAATATTAAAAGGACTTAAGTACATGATTAGGTACAAATGGGCTACTGAGAATGAAGGTCAACCTTAAGAATAAATATCAAGAAACAGTGTTAAAATATAAGGATAAACATACAAAATACCTAAGCCAATTTCATAAAAGAGCTGAAATGCTCTGGATTTGAATAAGACCTTAAATACAAAATATTTTAAATGCAAAGTTAAGCAAAACACACTGCTATTATTATAGATTTCATGGAAGCAACATTAATATTGAAGAAGAGCATGTTCCCTTCCCTCCAAAGAAAAACAGAATCTCATTAATCTGTGCTTTTGTAAATTAGAATTTATAATTACTTGACCATGATTTACAATTTTAACTATGCACTATGAAGAAAAATTTTGTTAAACAAAAGTAGATTAAAAGTACAGCATCTCTGTTTAACCAATTTAAGGAAACAAAGATAATGAGTTTGTTGCTTATAAGTAAATAAATGCAGATACTAAAAGTATTAATTATAACTTGAAGCAGGTATTTGGAAATATTTTATAGAAACTGAAAGCCAAAGCTGGGTGGAACAAATGAATAATAACAGCTAACAACTAATAACAGCAACTGAAGTCACTCAATTAAAACAAAATTCTAAAAAAAAAAAAGTCTGCAAATCAAACTAATATTTCTGCCAATTAGTCACACCTAGTGAGGTTTAGCGTACAGTGAGGTCTTAAATATCCATTTTGATAAAGTTTTAATAGTATGCCAGATCAAGTGACCCTATAAAACTTCAAAGTAATTATGTATATTTCAAATCCTAATTTTAAAATATTTATGAATTTGTCTCAAATTTATTTTCTGTAAATAGTCAAGTGACTTAGATTGGAGAGGCAGGGAAAGTATAATTACATGTCACTTATTGTGCTAGGTGCTTACCAGACTTAATAATTCACTTTATAATAACAATAATAACAATGAATATAACTTTAAAAGCTGCTAATAATGACATTTACTGAGCTCCCCTACGAAGTAAGAACTTCAGATACACCATATAGTCTGCATAATAAACCTGAAAGGTAAATAATTGCTTCCATTTTATAAGTGAGAAAAGTAAGGCTTGGCAAAGTCAACTAACTTGCTCAAAATCATGCAACTGACAAATGGAATAACTGGGATTTAATTCTGGATCTGTCTGAATCCATCCATTATACCACACAGCTTCTCATAAAACATGTTTCTTTGAAGAAATTAACAAAGCACAGTGTTTCTGAGTTATGTTTATGACTTCCTGATTACAGTAACTGATAAAGAAACCAAGAAAAAACTCACATCTAGTATTCTGTTCTCAATAATCAGGTCCAGCAGAAAATTTGTGTCAAATATGAAGCCTGAATATTTTGTTGTATTACGTATGAGTCACAAAGATCAAAGCTCATAGTAATAAAATACACTCATCGTAGATACAAACAAGAAAATAAAAACACTGGCCCAAATCCTAGCTGCTGGCATGCCCATTTTACGACAGGGTACGATATATAACTAACTTCTTACAGACTTTAAAAAAAAATACACATTCATCTATATAAACTTTTAAAGTTTCTTTGATGGGATAAGCACTAATGCACCCAATTCTTTTGATAGAATTCCACAATAATTCAAGTCCAGTATAGGATTAATAACAGATAAAGTAAGCACGTATGAAGGCGAGAGCAAAAGGCTTCGAAAGACGAGGCTGTCGTCAGAGGCAAGGTTCCAATAGACCTCCCATGAGATACTGAACCCTGCCACATCGAACCAATTAACTATACATGTGGTTTCAGTGTCATGCCAGGAGGCACGCCAACACCACCAGTCAAAACAATGCCAGTCCCAACCAAAGAAGGTAAAGTTCGGTTTCATTTATCATAGCAAGATGAGCTTCACAAACAGCACTGCTGGGACTATCAGTTCCCTCGTGCTCCAAACATTCACACAGCCAGGATTCAAACCTGGAAACTGGCCATAATTGATTCAGATTTTTAAAATTACAAGGTTCACGACTTTGAACGGAAGAGTGTGACACAGTTAAGAAACCGGCCGATGCAGTGCGGGGGGGGTGTCTGTATAATCCAACTCTAGCCGTTCTCAGTTGTGAGGCCCTCGGCAGACGACTTAACCTCCCTGTCCCCGGGCCTCAGTTTCCCAACTATAAAATAGGGCTAAGAAGAGCACCTCAAATGGTTTGCAGAGAGGATTAAATAAGATAACACCCTTGTGTTTAGGGCTGTGTGTGGCCCATAAGAAGTGATCAATAAATGGAAGCTAGGATGAGGCACAAAGATGATGACGATGCAGGGCAACCAGACTGAATGGGCACGGACACTGGAATCACTGCCAACAGGGGTCACGAAACAGTCAGGGAAAGTCTATTGAGTTAACACACACGGCCCAGGCAGATAGGGAGGAAACAGAGACAAAGATGCATGTACCCGCCCTCCACAAACCCCCGGTCCGCCGCCGCCGCCGCCTGGAGACAGAGGCTCGGCTGGGCGAAGCGCCTCTGCCCGGCGCGGCCGCAGAACCACGCCTCGCCCACCGCTTCAGGGGAGGGCGCCGTCCCCGAGGAAGGGGAGGTTCCGGGAGGGGTCCCCACCCCGAAGCCAGCCCCTCACCTTCCGGAAACTCGGGCACTGACAAGTCCTGCTCCCAGCCGTCCACCTTCTGCAGATACTGGTAGACCAGGCTGTCCTTCTCCTCCTGGGTGACGGCATCGAGCAGAGCGTACTCCAGCGAGGTCTGAGCCGGGAGCAGGCCCGAGAGGCTGCAGCTCCGGGCTCCGGGCGCCGCCATGTTCTCTCCGGACGGTCCAGAGGCGGCCGCAGAGCCCGCGGGACGGTCTCGTTGGGAGGGAGAGGGACTTACGGTCCTCTGGTTTCAAAACCGCACATTCGCCTCACTCTCCACCAGCCCCACTCCACGCTCACAGCACTTTTTTCAAATGCTAAAGTACAAATTGACGCAATTCCCCGGCACGTAATTAAACTACCGTCCCAACCTACCCCGCCCCTTCTAAATCTTCTCGCCGCAGCTGAGCCTGGACATTCAGAGCGCCAGATTCAACACGGAAAAGGCTTCTGGGCCAGCGTTCTAGAAGCTCCAAGAGAACAATTCCCCACCCTTCACTTTGGAAATTAGCAGGTTTTAGAACTAAAACAAAACAAAATAAATCCGTAGGATTTAAAAGGGCCCTAACTTTTTTTCTTTTTAAAGTCTCACGTTTAGACCAGGATCAGCTGATTCGACACAGCACTGGGAACGCGAAGCTGTTCCCGCCACGGCACGAAAGGTAAAGGAGTAGGCTTCTTAAAGTTGGGAGTGACTAGCCAATGGCCTTGGCTTATATGCAAACGCAGCATTTTGTTACCCTACAGTGCTGAAAGTGCGGGTGCGAATAGATTGTCAGCCAAGCAGGGGGAGGGGGCAGGATGGGAGCGGACGCAGCTGGAGCTACTCCCGAGGCGCGAGGGTGGCAGGTGGGCGACCGCGGGGATCCCTGAGGGCCCGGCCTCTGTCTTCAGAAGTGGAGAGCACTGGTGGCTTTTGTGGAGCGAGCTGTGCTGGCAGCTCCCTCGCTCCCTTCCCTGGAGGGGGTGAGGGCCCACTCCGCTGGCCTTGCAGCCTTTAATGCCCAAAGAGGCGGTCGAGCCGGTGGGAGGCATCAGGCAGGTGAAGCTTGGTTTTGAGGCTGCTGGAGAGAGAGCTGATCGCCTTCAGGCAGACTACCTCTGGAGTCTGGTGATAGGAGTGTGGGTGGCCTCAGTGCAAGCACAACTTCACGTACTTGAATTTTGTTTGTTCATTGTGCAGTGTTTGTTCGTTGCCGCTGGAGGAAGATACTGGATTGACCCAGGAAACTGAAGTTGTCGAATATCCACCAGTCACGGATAAGGGCGCGTTTTTTTTTTTTTTTTTTGCTAATCACACACATTTGATTATGGTGTGACTAGTGTTACTAGCAAACTGAAGTAGCCATTAAGTGTTTGGAACACCTGCTGAGCCAGTTGCCCAGGGGCTGTGGTTGGGTTTGTGAATTATTTGGACAATTGTCCAGTTGAAAGAGAGCTGACAGGAGCTTTATAACAATTTTACGAAGCTCCTTCTAAGATTGAACTGTTAAACCTATACTTCCCATTGGGGTTTAGTGTTCAAAGTATTACTGACACTACTTTTTATGAATCAAGTCCTGGAAAAAGCCAAGATACCTGAATCGAAATACACACAATGGAAAACTCAGATGTTAATTTTATTGTGCTATAAATGAAACAGTAGGTGTTCTCACGTATAAGGTTTGTAGTTTGCCAATATATTCATTATCAGAGCTTTAGATTCCCATCAAGTTGGTGGGTTTTCTGTTACTTTATTTTCCTGAGCAAAATAATTCCATTTAAAAATTTTGTAACAAGACATAGACCCTCAATTTACTTAAGATTAGTGCTTCTTTAATGATCAAAATCATTTTGCCATGTTAGAGGATGCTTTTCTGGAACAAGACATCTGGGAATACAAATCCAAAAGAAAACCCAAACAAGTACATCCAAATAATTGCTCTGAGAATATTCCAGAATCTGTTGAGAAAGCAACAGATGGACAATACCAGTCAAAACGAAACAGAAATAAAAAAAGAAATGTAAAAGGTAAAAAGAAGGTTAAGGCCCCCGAAACGTGCCTTGGAGAAACAGACAGTCAGACTTCTGTCGCTTCCAGTCAGAACTCTAGTTGTGGAGATGGTATTCAGCAGTGTCAAGACAGGGAGGCCACTCCAGGAAAGCACTGTAGGACTCACAAAAACAAACACGTGTCTCCGAAGATACGACCAGTTTATGATGGGTACTGTCCAAACTGCCAGATGCCTTTTTCCTCGTTGCTAGGTCAAACACCTCGATGGCATGTTTTTGAGTGTTTGGATTCCATACCAGTCTCCGAAACAGGTAAGATTCCAAAAAAGATAGTGGACTCTAAATAGTCAAAAAGACTTGCATTAGGCCAGACATATCAGTCCAGTGAAACAAGCCAGGTAAGCAGTAAACCAAAAATGAGGTGAGATACTCAAAGTATAAATGACTTAACCGTAGAAGGAAACAAGGTAATGCATTGGTACGCTTCTTGTGAAGGGTAAAAAGATAACAGTCAATTCAAGTTGCAAACTTGAAAACAGTATAAATGCATTTTACTATTTCATAAGAGTCCCTAAAAATCTGTGATTTTTCATAAATGTTAATTGAGCACATATTATGGTAGATATTTTCAGCTGCATAAGGTAGGTGGTATTGACATCTGATAGATGAGGGGTCTTAAAAGCTAAACAACTTGCCCATTTTGTTATCTTTTATGAAACAAACTTTTAGAGAATCATGAATGTAGTCCAGCCTTCTAAATATGGCTGTGTTGGGGTCATCATGCTAATGGACAGAAAGAAGAACTAGGAAGGAGTGTTTGGTTATTAAGATTCTAATAAATAAAATTGTGCCAAATGAGAACTGAAGTAATACTATGTTTCTGTTATCATTTAAACTATATAATAAATATCATGTTTAATATGTAGAAAATCCTACTTGTAGTATATGGAGAATGGATGGTTATTGATGATTTGATTATTTAAAAGTTATATATACCATACATAAATTTTTAAATCTCAAAGGATCAAAATTCATTAAAATAAAAATAATATTCAGTATGGCTTTCGTGTTAACTAAGATTCAGAAGACGTTTTATTATTAACTTCTAGTTCTCATTTTAAAGTACTGCATGAAGATGCAAAATAACTTAAAAAAAATTGGCACCAGCCTTATACAACCGTGAAAGCCTCATCAAATGCTAGTAATTTGTTTTTCAGTGGCTTGAAAGTCAGAAATGGCAGCTGGAATCCCGTGGTGAGCACTCAGGGTGAAATATCTTATAGATGAAGCTACCTCAAAGAGTTTTTCTCTTGGTTTTTTCACTGATTAAACTCCTTTGAATGGATAATCTCAGGTGGATTCTTCTTGAATTGAATTTTATTCTATAACATATACTTTTATGAGGTGGGTTTTTAAGCAATGAAGTCTCCAGTTTAATGTGACATCTTTTTGCGGGGGGAGTGGATCATTTTTTGACGGGCCTGAAAATGAACATACAAGGGGTGGGGTATGCCAAGATGCTTTACAGACTGTTTCTCAGTCATAAAGGTATGACAGGGAATAGTTTCCAGATTATTAAAGCCTTATTATTAACCAGTTTATCAAACTGAATTTCAAATCTTAGAACAGAAACTAAAATGTTTAGGGTATGAACAGCTCTAATTAAGATTGCTATTACTGTTTCATATACAGTGTGAATATTAAATAACGGAACCTAATTTGGTACTGCAACTGTCATACATATGTGTTGCCTGATAAGGCAAAAATTGAGGTAGAACTTTAGTCTGTGAGAGACATACTAGCCTTCTCTACTCTTTATTGCTTGAGCAATAGGGACGGAGTGAAACTGATGGGATCAATTTGTAGCACCTGGTTCAGAAATACCTAGTTCAAGCATGACATGCATTTTGGAGGAGCTCATATTTGTGAAAGTTTTTAGTGGGGAGAAAAAGGTGTTAGTCTTAAATTTTGGGGGGGAAAAGAGTATTTGAAAAGAAATTTAAAAGAATATATTGATTTAAAAATAATAACTAGCACCTTGCAAAACCATATTGGATTACTGTTATTGTGTGCTGATTTTTTGTTTATATAATGATAGCTATTGTCCTAAGGCCTCAAAGTTGGACTGATGACTTTCCACTTACATGTTAATTTATAGCGCTAATACTGTCAAAGCTTAGTCTGTGCTTTGATCCGGTAATACTTTTTTCTTTATTAAAATTTTCAGAGTGTCCTGATGCTCTTCAGTGTTCCTCAACAATTCCTTCTCATTACAAGAGATACACTCATCACCTGCTAGCTCAAAGCAGGGCTGGTAATAGTCTTTTCAGCGATCCATCCCATGAGTCAGGTGGGAGTTTCAGTGAGGCTAATTCAGGCTTTCTTTGTAGCCGTAAGGAAAGATGGTCTCCATATCAGAAACAAACAGATAACTTAAAAAAAAATGTTTCAACTGATCCCTTGTTAGTGACACGATGTCTAAGAAAATCTCAGTCTCCAACTGAAACTGATAAAAAGGTTTCCTCTTCAACAAATAGCCAAACTTCCCAACAAGTCCCACCATTTACAGAACTTGTTAATAATGACAAACTGGTAGGATTTGGTTTGCCTCCTGCTGAAGAATTAGACAGTCAAAACAGCCCAGAACACATAAATTTGACATTGCCAGAAAATGGCTTTAGCAACTGTGAAATCTCCTATTCTCCACTTCAAAGTGATGAAGAAACTTATGATACAGATGAAAAGCTGGATGATTCACAACAGGAACTATTTTTTACAGGAAGCTCTAAAGATGGCAGCTTAGAAGAAGATGAAAATAGCTCCACTTTGTCTAAAAAACTCCATGACCCTTTACTGAAGGACCAGGAGGAGAGCTGCCCCGAAGTGGATAGCTTCTTAACTCAGGATAAATACGATGAAGAATTGTATAAATGCAACACTCTAAATGATTCATCTCAACTTACTTTCCAAAATAAGAGTATTATTTTACGTGATGATCCAGCATATACTGATGATTTTATATTGTTTCCACCTGCATTAGCAGAGAGGTTTACTTCTCCTAGTTGCCAAGCTACTAAAGCAAAACCTGATGAGCCAGAATTTCACTCATCTCAGTCAAATAAACAGGTAATTGAAGAATCAGCTGTTTACAATCAAATTTCTCTTCCCTTACTTAAGAGTAAAATGTCAAAACCTTTTGAAAGCCAGGGAGGAGGGTGTCATTCTTTCCAACCAACCCAAAGTAAAACTAGAGAATTATCAAGTAAGAATTTCAGTGCTAAGCACAATACGAACTCAGCATGTTTCTGCAGAAAGGCATTAGATGGTATGCTGGACAGTAAAGTTACAGCTTTAAATACAGCGATATTTTCTAGTACACCTACTGCTG